GACTTTATTGTGTTGAGGTATGTTCCTTGTATCCCTACTCTCTCCAGCCTGCTTAGTTTTAAGTTACATTAGCTTGGAAGCATTTTTCCACCCTTTAACCCTAATATAGGGTCTATTATTGGTTGTGAACTGTGTTTCTTGGAGACAGCAAAAACTTGAGTATTGTTTTCTGATTCAATCTCTTTATCTTATCTCTTAATTAATATGAATTATTATCTGGAATTATTTATTTTTCCCTGCGATCTTGAATATGTTTATCCTTTGCTTCAGACCTAACTATTTCTTCATTTGCCCTCTGAAAAACTGGTTTAGTGGGCATAATTTTCTTCAACTTCTTTTTATCATGAAAAGTTTAACTTTCTCTTTTATTATGATTGATAGTTTTGCTGGGTATAGTAGTCTGGGAGCATTGGTGCTGTTTTCTAACTTGTAGAATATCAGCCTAATCCATTATGGCTTTCCAGTCTTTACTGAAAGACTCTGTTGCTATTTTGATGGGCCCCTCATTGAATATGGTTTGATCATTCTCATTTGTAGTTTTCCATGTTTTTTCTTGGTTCTTTACATTAACTGTCACTTTTGTTTTATAACATAGGAAGTTTCTTTTGTGGTCCTTTATATTTGGAGTTCTGCAAAATCAAATAGACAACATATATCTACAGAACTTTCCAACCAAAAACTAAAGAATATACGTTCTTCTCTGCAGCTCATTGGATTTTCTCCAAAATAGACTACATATTAGGATAAAAGCAAGTCTCTAATGTACAGGAAAATTTAAATCATATCTTGCACTCTATCAGACCACCATGGACTATCAGGATATAAACAAAAAAAAGAAAGAATACAAATTCATGGATGCTAAGTTACACAAAACTGAACCAAAATTGATTTAAGGAAGAAATCAAGAAGGAAATTGTTAGAATCAAATGGAAATGCAATCATAATGTACCAAAACCTATCGAACACAATGAAAGTTGTCATAAAATGAAAGTTTACGGAACAGTGCATCCATGTCAAAAATTTTAGAGATTACAAATTAATGACTTTATGACATACCTGAAAACTTTAAACATACAAAAACAATCAAAATTTGTAAAGATAAATGGGAAGAGTTCATCAAAATCAGGGCAAAAATTAATGAACCAGCAATGAAAAATTAAATACAAAGATGGATGAAGCCAATACTGATATTGACAATGTTAGCCAAATTAACAACAAAAAGATAGAGAATTCAAATTTAATAAAATTAGAGATGGAAAGGGAGACGTTACAACAGACACTGAGGAAATTCAGAGAATCATAGAATATGTTTAAAAAAAACCTATATTCCTCTAAATTGGCAAAATTTAAAGAAATGGATAAATTTCAAGATATGCATATGACCTACTAATGTTAGATATAAATGGAGTTAATAGTTCAAATTGATCTACAACATCCAGTGAGATTAAAACATTAATTAGAACTATCCCAAATTAAAAAAAGCTTAAGTCAGATGGAGTCAGTGAAGAATTCTATCACACTTTCAAAGAAGAGCTAACACTCATACATTGCAAACTATTACACAAAACAGAAAAGGAAAGATCATTTGCTTTGGGAAGGTGGTATTACCATGATTTCAAAAACATACAAAGGTCCAACTAAAAACGAAGAAAAATTATAGGACAACCTCTTATGAACATAGATACAAATAAATGTTTGAAAACTGAATTCAAGTACACACAACAATGATTATACACCATAATATTGGCCTCATCTAAAGGATACAGGACTGGTCTAACACCTCTTAGTCAATGAATGTAATCTACCATATAAACAGAATAAAGGACAGGGAAAAAAATGAATCATCTGATAAAATGGAGTAAGGCCTTTGACAAAAATCCAACATAATTTCATGATGAAAGTCTAGGAAAAAATAGGTACATGCAGAATAAAGCCTATTTTCTTATCACGTGAGTTTATGGTGTTATTCATCTTCTTTTCTACAGAACCCAGAAACATGAAGAATATGAATCACTAAATGTATGTCAACATGGGAATGGACTTTGGCACACAAATCAAAGAATGTTATATAAAATACATCCTTAATGAAATGAATCTTTCTGAATATTATGATTTTCTTGTGAAATGTCATAATTTGTTCTGTATGTGGAAATTGGGTTGTTTCAAAGTGCAAGTTATTTTCCTCACTAGTGACTAATATTAAGAGAATGAGTAAATAGATCAGAAGGTAACATGCTTTCAGTGCAAATATAACAACTGAGTTTACTTTTGCAGATCAAAAAGCAAAATAAAGCGGGGGGGTGGCATTTCAGTGCACAAGTGTAATCCTGTTGCTTTTGGAGAAAGGAGGGGCAGAAGGAGGAGAACCTCACAAGTTTATGTACCACAAAAGATGTGTTATTAAATACCGTGCAAGATAACAACCCACATTTGAAATTTTCTCTGTCTAGCATCATGTGCATGCACCCACACCACAGAGAAATATATACACATATCGCCCAACACTAATATAAAAATAAATTGTTAGGGAAATGTCAACTGCTGTTCAGACAAGTGGAATGGACTGGATGTTCCTGAATTAAGCAGTGTCTTAGTAACTGGTGGCTTGATTGAGAAACATTTGATTTTTTTATGGTTGTGCAGATTGAAAGTTGAATTCTAGAATTTGATGTTCTTGTCCTAACACATGGACTGAACTCATCACAAATATAAGACAACTGAATATTTGCTTACCCACTTAGAGCTCAAGTTATTGGGAGGTTCACATTCAGGGTTTTACACAATGCAAAAAAATAAATAAATAAAACAAAGAGTTTTCTAAATCATATAGAAACTTAATACAGTAGAAGCTTCTTAAAATGTATACATATATAAAAACATTTAATGGAATCATCAAAAAATGGGGGAGACAAAGTCTAAGTAAGATGTTTCTCACCACCAAATAAAACTTCCCATTTGGGGATGGGATAATTGAGTTGCTAGCAAGACAAACACAGTGGAAAAGCCCAATAAAACCAGGCTACTGCAGAGTCTATTGGTTGCTCTCCACACAATGATGTGTAAAGCCCCATTGCTGAAGACAACACTACAGGACTCATTGGCATGGAGAAACTGAGGTGCCTACTTAAAGCCTTTGCTCCTATGGACTAGTGTTCATGGTACTGGAAGGCAGCCTGCATGCTACCAAAGGAGAAAGGTAAACACCAGCCTAGCTATAGACCCTCCAAACTGCAATGGTGTCCTGCATGCAAGATATACTGGTGCAAAAGGGCACATAGCTTGTGGAATTAAACAATCAATATCTGATTGTATTTTAAGTTCACTCCATGAGATGGAACCCAACATGTCTCAGATTGTCAAGAACTTGAGACTAGACAGGCCATAGACTCATAGGGAAACCAAATACTATTGTTTTGGTAAAGAAAATTAGCAATAAATTGTCTCCTAAGGATATTCTGCTATATTAATAGATCATTGTGCCACTCAGCTGTCATCAGAGATGTTCCCTTCAGCAGTAGAATTCAGTTCTAAATGGGATGTCTTCTTAAAGTCCCTTCCCTCAGGGCTCAGGGAACCTGAAAGAAGAGGAGGTGGAAAGATTATAAGAGTCAGAGAAAGTGGAAAACACTGAAGAAACAAGACTTTCTAAACATAGCAGGACTGATACACATATGAACTCAAGAGACTGGGAAGGATGCTCAGGGCCTGTACCACTAAGACAGATGGGTTGCCAGCACTGAGAGGGGAAGTGGAAACAAGCCCTCATGTTTAATTCGGAAGAACTCCAAGTTGTCACAAGCCTCCATCCTGAACCCAGTTGCAAATACAATAACTAGTTTTCTTCAAGGGAGTTTCACTGGGTATACAAACAACTCAGTAGTCAATGGAAAACAAAAGTACAAACTCAATGGCACTTTTGGAGGCTAATTTTTTTAGCTTTACATGTCTTTTGTGTATAATTATGACTTCTGATGATTTGTTTTTATGATTTTCTTTTTTTAGTTTTTTGAGACAGGGTTTCTCTGTGTAGTTTTGCGCCTTTCCTGGAACTCACTTTGTAGACCAGGCTGGCCTCAACCTCACAGAGATCAGCCTGCCTCTGCCTCCCGAGTGCCAGTGCTGGGATTAAAGGCATGTGCCACCACCGCCCGGCTCAATTTTTATGATTTTCTATGTATGAAAACATCTATGTGTTTCTCTACATCTATGTGATTATTTTCCTTTTTCTTTGGCTCTTTTTTTTCTGTTTGTTCATTTTGTCCAATTCTGGCTTGTTTTTATTTTAATTTATTATTATTTTTCAGATACTTGATTGTTTTCTAATAAGAGGGAGAAAGAAAGGGCAGGGATTTTGGTGGAAAGGGAAGTAGGGAAGACATAGAAGGAGTTGGTGGAAGGGAAGCTATAAGCTGAGAAGCCCCCATGGAACTGGACCAGGCCTTCTGGATAAGTGAGACACTTGATTAGCTTGAACTGTTTAGGAGGCTCCCAGACAGTGGGACCAGGACCTGTCCTTGGTGCATGAGCTGGCTTTTTGGAATCTAGGGCCTATGCTGAGATACTTTGCTCAGCCTTGGCGTAGGGAGGAGGGGACTGGACTTACCTCAACTGATTCTATTAGGCTGAGCTGACTCCCCAGGGGAGACCTTGTCTTGGAGGAGGTGGGAATAAGTGGTGGATTGGGGGGAAGGCTGGGAGGTGGGAGGAGGGAGGACAGGGGAATCCGTGACTGATAATGTAAAATTAAATTAATTATAAAATAAAAATGTTTAAATAAAAAATGGCTAAAAATATATTGCATGAAAAAATCCATTTTCAATTTTAAAAAAAGAAATAATACTCCCATTCTAATTCCAGCTAATTCTGGGAAGATATTTCAACAGGGAGTTTGGGAAACAGAAGCATTTAAACTGTAAAAGACATTGCACTAAGCTTGCACATATGTAAAATATTGTGTAGTATGAGTGTTCCTACTCAATATTGTCCTGCCTTCTGTACAGGTTTAAGCTGAGGAACTACCAATCTATTTTGGCCATGATGTTTGCTACTGAGGAGATCAACAGCAATCTCAATATTTTACCTAATACATCCCTGGGATTGGAGATCCATAATGTCCCACATGGTCAAAGGCGCACACTGGCCAATCTTTTTGGCTCATTTTCAGCCCCTGGTTATTCCATCCCTAACTACAGATGTGCAAGAGAGGGCATGTCAGCTGCTGTACTTACAGGACCATCATGGGCAATAACTGAATACATAGGGACACTGCTGGATCTTTACAAATTTCCACAGGTAAGAGAGGGTGATGGGATAAGACATGATGTCAGCTCTGCTTGGTGACATTTCAGCTGTCTGTGAGGGAAATAGGTCAAGCTTTAGTAACTCTTCATTGATAGGGAAGTAATATAGACATAGTGTATGATACATCTGTATTTTTTGTAGCTTAGAATAGAGAGAAGGTGAAGGGTGTAACAGACACAATACACTATTGAACCTCTAAATATTCTCTGTACTATCAAGGGATATTCAATTACAACATTAACCCTGAGTTTGTGTTTGTGTTAATTAAAAAAAAATTAACCTTAGTTTAAGGGATGGAGCCTGCCACTAGGTGACTGGAATTAGCATTAGAAAGTCTGGATGATCCAGGAATACAGATAGAGAGGCACACAGGAAGGAGTCGGGTGGGACTTGGAGTTTGGTGCTTTCTTTTTGGTTAGGGATGAATTGAGAGACATGACTATTGATGGATCTCTGGCAAAAAAGGAAAGTAAGCTGGTTGCTTCTCACCCTCTCTGATGTAACAGGTTTTCACTCACACATTTGACTTCTGAGTCTTTGTTGGTAAATAGAACAATACAGACTTAGTTTAAACCTACATATAGTGGCCATGGCAAAACCAGGCCTTGGGACTGGAACTCCCTCCAGGCTGCAGTCTGGGTGGCTGTTGGTGCACTTACTGCTGGGCTGTGAGGCTGCAGACAGTAATCATCATTAATTTAAAATATCAGTAAATTCATGTGAAGCTGCTATCCTGACAGAACATCACTGTACTTTTCTGATAAACCCATAGGAAGACAGATTTGACCTTCAAAGCAGGATTGTCCTAAAGGCTTCAAACCATTGCTGTAGACTTGAGTTGAATTTTATGACTATGTTCTTCTTTCTTATTGCTTTTCCCTACAGCTTTCTTTTGGGCCTTTTGATACTACCCTGAGTGAACAAAGATGGTTTTCTTCCCTGTACCAGGTGGCCTCCAAGGACACATCACTGACACTTGGCATTGTAGCTTTGATGATTCATTTCCACTGGAACTGGGTTGGGCTGTTCATCATAGATGATCATAAAGGTGCCCAGATTCTGTCAGATTTGAGAAGTGAGCTGGAGAAAAATGGAGTCTGCATAGCGTTTGTGGAAATGATCCTAGCCATTAGGGGTTCATTTCTGACCACATCCTGGAAAAATCAGGAGCAGATCCTGGAATCATCAGCAAATGTGATTATTATTTATGGGGACACTGATTCTCTATTGAGCTTAATAGTAAATATTAAGCAGAAGTTACTCACATGTAAAGTCTGGGTCCTGAACTCACAGTGGGATCATTCCAAATTTGATGACTTTTTCCTGTTAGATGCACTGCATGGGGCCCTTATTTTTTCATACCATAATGAGGAGATAGATGATTTTACAGATTTTATACAGACAGCCAATCCTTCCAAATACCCAGAGGACATTTATCTTCATGTATTATGGCACTCATTCTTCAATTGCTCATTTTTTAGGGAAGAGTGTAAAATTGTGGATAACTGTCTGCCTAACGCCTCCTTGGGATTCTTGCCAGGGAACATATTTGACATGGCCATGAGTGAAGAGAGTTACAATGTGTACAATGCAGTGTATGCTGTGGCCCACAGTCTGCATGAGATGATGCTCAATCAAGTACCATTTCAAACTCGTGGAAAAGGAAAAGAGATGGTATTCTTCCCCTGGCAGGTAACAGCACTTCTGTAGTATTATAACATCAGCAACAAACCACTCTATGGTTTATCAATACACTAAAATGAGGCAGTACATAGTTCAGATTACTTTGTTAAAAATCTGCAAGAGAGACTGTGCAAGGGGGAGTCTATTTTAAGTCCATATGTAGTTGCATTGCAAAGGGTCATTTAATATTTGGAGGGTAAAATTTTCAATATAAAAATGTCCATTAACCCCAGAGATTTCATACAACAGAAAAGCAGAGACAGAGAATTGTCACAATAGACATGAAGACTTATAAAATTCTTACATTACATAAATGAACACACATAAAAATGCTCTCAACCTCAGAGCCATCTCTCCAGCCTGGGTATGACTATATTTTCAAAGAAGGTGAGAATTTTCTCCATGTACATTTATGATTTAGAAGAGCTTGGTTTTAAGTTTTCTAATGGAACTGATTGGAATATTTAGAACCATAATGATGTTTCTATTATCCTTAGGTATCACTTGTTTTGTATGAGTGGTACCTCTATTAAAGGTGCTTTTCATATCAGGGATTAAAAATCAAGAAGAGATGTTCCCTGATTCTGCCTCTGTTTTATTTCTCTGAAGTTTATGTAGCATAAAGCATGCATTTCTTTTAGCTTCACCCTTTTCTGAAAAGCACACAACTCATCAATTGTGCTGGAGACCAGGTGGTTCTGGATTGGAAAAGGAAATCACATGCAGAATATGATATTCTCAATTTTTGGAATTTCCCGAAAGGTCTTGGGATAAATGCAAAAGTAGGAACATTTTCTCCAAATGCTCCAGAGGGCCAGAAATTGTCCTTATCTTCTCACATGATACAGTGGGCCACAGGATTAACAGAGGTGAGTTGCAACTTAACTTCAGTATTTTGACCTGTATAAATTTCAAAACATATATTTCTGTGTGTCATGACACTTCACTGCTCACAAAGGGCCCATTTATATACAGACAATGATCACCAATATCATACCTAATTTTGCTGAATGAACTATTTATTTTCCAGTCTGTCCATTTATTTAGTATACTATATACAATATCTTTTTTCAGGATTATTTACATCATTATCACAGATCATCTGACAAAAGATTTATTTTGATCCCATCTTGAAAGGTTTCAGTCAATGGTCAGTTGGCCCTTTGCTTCTGAGCCCCTGTCAAGAGAGAAGAGCATGACTGTAATATGTAGATGTGTTCATTGTTTGTTTTGCTGTTGCAGAAAGGCTACTTAACAAACAGTATGGGAGGATTTTTCTTGGTTAACAGTTTAAGGATATATTCACTCACTGCAGGAAGCCATGTCTTTAGGTGGTAGAGGTAGATGTTGACATTGCAGTAACAATCAGGATGTAGAGACAGCTGAATGCCGCTGTCATCATCATTTATTCCTTTACATTAATTTGTAGTCCAGGGCCAATAAATCAGGGTGACCCACTTTAGGGAGAATTTTTTTTTGCCTCAAGTAACCTAATCTAGGAAATCTTTCACAATACTTCTCCTAGATTGGTTTCCACAGTGGTTCTAAGATTAACCACTACCATGAAAGACAAGATGAACCCTTACCATGGAAGAAAAAATTTATTTGCCTTTCTATCCAGGAGTCAAGAGACAGTAAATTTGTAGTCTCACCAAGACATGCTACCAAGGATCTAAATTCCTACTTTTATGCCTCACCTCATAATGTTTGAAAAATTTCCCAACAAAGTCATGTTATTAGGGCCAAGCATTTACCACATGGGCCTGTGAATGACTCTCCTTAGCAATAAAAAATTCAACTATCTGCATTTAGAAATATTAACATAAATAAATTAACAGTTCTATATTCAAAAACACTCTACTGGAGATTCCATAAAAGCATGACCAGTTGCTAACATTCATATTATTGTTCTCAGAATCCTCAGTCAGTATGCAGTGAGAGCTGCCATTCTGGATTCATGAAAACCCACCGAGAGGGTGAGGCTGCCTGTTGCTTTGACTGCAAGCAATGCCCAGAGAATGAGGTTTCCAATGAGACAGGTACATGTCAATCATGCAGAAAACATTCACAGCTGTACACAACTGCAATATCTAAGCAAATGAAAACCATCTATAGGTGAAGTGTAATCAGTTCACTTCAGTGAAGACAATCCTCTTCCTTCCAACTGTTAGAAAACCACAGGTTACAGTTCATTTCTCCCACTGAAATAACACACTCTTGACATTGATATCCATACCTGCTTTGTGTTCTTGAACCACTGTGGACATGTCTGCCAACAGAAAACCACTTTCCCACACCAGAGCAATATGATTCATTTCACCATGCAGTTTGTCTTGGTTTCTTTTTTTTTTATTCTCCTATATTATTAACAAATTTTCTATTAATTTTACATACCAATCACAGATCCCTCTTTCCTCTCTCCTCCTGCCCTCCAGCCTTCTCCCCCAAGACACCACCATTCCCACCTCCTCCAAGGCAAGGACTTCCATGGGAAGTCAGCAGAACCCAGTACATTCAGTTGAGGCGGGTCCAAGCCCCTCCTCCTGCACCAAGGCTGTCCAAGGTGTCCGACCATAGGCACTGGGCTCCAAAAAACCCACTCATGCACCAGGAATGGATCCTGATCCCACTGCCAGGAGCCTCCCTAAACAGTACAAGCTAAATGATTGTCTTGCATATGCAGAGGGCCTAGTCCAGTCACTTGGGAGCTCCACAGCTATTGGTCCATAGTTCATGAGTTCCCACTAGTTTGGCCTGGTAGTCTCTCTACGTTTCCCCATCATGATCTCCATGTCCCTTGCTCATAGAATCCCTCCTCTCTCTCATCAACTGGACCCTTGGAACTTGGCCTGGCACCTGGCCTTGAATGTCACCATTTGATTCCATCAGTTACTGGATGAAGGCTCTACCTTGGTACCTTGGTTTCTCTTCTATTGCTGTGAAAAGACACTATGACCAAGCAACTTATAAAAGAAGACATTTAATTGGCTTACAATTTCACACTATTAGGGTCCATGAAGGCAGAGCAGAGGCATGTGTGGTAGGTTGAATGAGAATGGCTCCCATAGGTTCATATGCTTGAATACTTGCTCTACAGTTGTGGAACTGTTTGGAAAGGATTAGCATATGTGGCCTTGCTGAAGGAGGTCTGTCACTAAGGAAGGGAATAGAGGTTTAAAAGCCCACTTATCCCCCACCTTCTTTTTCCTTCTGTCTCTCTTCTCTCTCTTTCATCTTTGTGTCATGCCTATAGATCAGATGTAAGCTCTCAGCTTTTTTCCAGCTCCATTCCTTCCTGCCTGCAGCTTGCCATGTTCTCCATCTGGAACTGTGAGCCTACAAGTTAAATTCTTTCTTTTATTAGTTGCCTTGGTTATGATGTCTCTTCACAGCAATAGAAATTTAACTAAGACAGTGTGACAACAGAAACAGTTGAGACTTTGTATACTGATCTCCAAGTAGGAGACAGAGAAGACACACTCTGTATGACAAGATCCTTAAAAATTTCCACTGCATCAGGCCTCTCTCAAAAGTGCCACATCTCCTAATCCTTTCCAAATAGCTCCACCAACTGTGGGCAAGTCATACAAATATGTGGTGTAAGGGGGAACATATGCATTCAAACCACTGCATTATGTTCCGTGACACCCTTAGTCTTGTGAGCCTTCATACTTTTATTTATTTTACTTTAATTCAATTTTATGATAATTCTATATATTATTCAATACATCCCAACCACAGCCTCCCCTCCCTTCCTTCCACCCAGTCACACCCTCTACCTCCCCTTCTTCCCCAGATCCACTGTTTTTCCAGTTCCCTTCAGAAAATGAGATCCTCCAAGTAATATTAACTGAACATGACATAACAAGATGCAATAAGACTAAGCATAAACCCTCATATCAAGGCTGGACCAGGCAATGCAGTAGGAAGAAAAGCATCCCACGAGCAGGCAGACAAATCAGGCACACCTTCACTTCCACTGTGAGGAATCCCACAAAAGCCTCAAGCTAAAAAAATCACAACATGTATTCAGAAAGCCTAGCACAGACCCATGGAGTCTCCCTGACTCCTGTTCCAGTCTCTGTGAGGCCCTATGAGCCCTGCTTAGGTGATTCTTTGGGCCATGTTCTCCTGTTGACCCCAACCCCTCTGGCTCCTACAATCCTTCCTCCTCCTCTACTGTGTGGTTCACCAAGCTCCCTATAATGTTTGGCTGTAGGTCTCTGCATCTACTATCATCAGCTGCTAGAGTAAGTCTTCTTGATGAATATTGGGCTAGGTGCCAGTCAATGAGTATATCAGAATATGATTAGAAATCATTTCATTGACTTGTTTCTTTCTTTTTTTTTCTTTTCAGTAGTGTTTGGTCCTCTAGGTCTCTGAGCATTCAGCTTCACATTCCTGGCCATCCGGGCAGTGTCCAGCAGGGGCTCTTTCTCATGACTTGGGCCTTAAGACAAATAAGTCACTGGTTGGCCACCCCCATAAGCTCTGAGCCACCATTGCCCCAGCACAGTTTGCTGGCAGATAGGTTATGAGTGGAAAGTTTTGTGGCTGGATTGGTTTCTCAGTCCCACTGCTGATAGCCTAGCCCGGTGAAAGAAGATGGCTCGTTTAGGCTCCATATTGTCAATAACTAAGAGTCCTCTCAAGGGTCATCCTCATAGCTTCCAGGAAGTATCCACTGCACTAGGTTTACACATAACTCCCCATAATCCATGTATTCCAGTTGTCTCTCCCCATACTACTTCTCTGTGTCCTATCTCCCTATCTGATCCCCCCTGCTATCCACCCTGCCCTCAGTACACTAACAAAAATCTATTACATTTCCCTTTCCCAAGGAGATCCATTTGTCCCCTCTAGAACCCTTCTTGTTACTTAGCCTCTCTGTATATGTGGATTATAGTGTGATTATCCTTAACAGCTAATATTCATTTATAAGTGAGGACATATCTTGTTTGTCTTTCTGGCTCTGGGTTTCCTCACAAGGGATATTTTTTTCTAGTTCCATCCATTTACCAGCAAATTTCATGTTGTCATTTTTTTGTAACAGATGAATAATAAGACATTGTGTAAATGTAGCACATTTCTTTATCTATTCTTTGGTTGTGGGATATCAAGACTGTTTCCAGTTTCTAGTTATTATGAATAATACTGCTGTGAACAGAGTTGTAGAAATGTCTTTATGGTAGGATGGAGCACCCTTTGGGTATATGACCAAGAGTGGTATAGCTGGGTCATGAGGTAGGTCAGTTCTCAATTTTCTGAATAATCACCATATTGATTTCCAAGTGCTATACAAGTTTGCACTCGCACCAGCAATGGAGGAGTGTTCCCCTTGGTCTACATCTTCACCAACATAAATTGTCACTTGTATGATTGATCATAGCCATTCTTACTGGCGTAAGATGGAATCTCAAAATATTTTTCATTTGCACTTCCTTGATGTATAAGGATGTTAAACATTTCTTTAAGTGTTTCACAACCATTTTGGTTTCTTCTATTGAGAATTCTCTGTTTGGATTTGTACCTCATTTTTTAATTTGATTATTTGGTTTGTTGATGTCTAGTTTCTTCAGTTCTTTATATATTTTGGATATTTGCCCTATATCTGATGTGAAGTTGGTGAAAACTTTTTCCCATCTGTAGGCTGCCATTTTGTCCTATTTACAGTGTCCTTTGCCTTACAGAAGCTTTTCAGTTTCATGAGGTCCCATATATTAGTTGTTGATCTTAGTGCTTGTGCTATGGGTGCTCTGTTCAGGAAATCATCTCCTATGCCAATGGGTTCATGGCTACTCCCCACTTTTTCTTCTGTTAAGTTCAGTGAGTCTAGTTTTCTTTTTTTTTCTGTTGAGGTCTTTGATTCAGCTGGACTTGAGTTTTGTGCAGGATGATGATTATAGATATATTTGCATTCTTCTGCATGCAGACATCCAGTGAAATCAGCACAATTTGTGGAAGTTGTTTTCTTTCTTCTATTGTGTCTCTCTGGCTTCTTTATCAAAATTCAAGTGTCCATAAGTGTGTGGATTTATGTCTGTGTCTTGAATTAGATTTCACTAATCAACCTATCTGTTTTTATGCCAATACCTTATGTGTTTTACTACTATAGTTCTGTAGTGCAACTTTAAATCAGGGATGGAGATACCTCCAGAAGTTCTTTTATTATACAAGATTGTTTTAGTCATTCTGGGTTTTTTGCTTTGTCATATGAAATTGAGTCTTGTCCTTTCAACTCTGTAAAGAATGGAATTGTGTAGCAATTTTGATGTGGATTGCATTGAATCTGTAGATTGCTTTTGGTAGGTTGGCCAATTTTATCATGTTGAACCTACTGATCCATGAGCATGGGAGATCTTTCCATCTTCTTATATAGTCTTCATTTCTTTCTTCAAACACTTGAAGTTTTTGTCATGCAAGTCTTTCACTTGCTTAGTTACAGTTACCCCAACAGATTATATATTGTTTGTAACTATTGTGAAGGGTGTTGTTTCCCTGATTTCTTTCTCAAACACTTTGCAATGTGTAAAAAGGAGGGCTATTGGATTTTTTAATTAATCTTGTTTTCAGCCATATTGCTGAAGGGGTTTTTCAGCTATAGGAGTTCCTTGATTGAATTTGGGGTCAATTATGTATATTATACTATCATCTGCAAATAATGATATTTTGAATTCTTCCTTTACAATTTGTATGCCCTTTATCTCATTCAGTTGTCTTATTTCTCTAGCTAGAACTTCCAGTACTATATTGAGTAGTTTTGGAGGAAGTGTACAGCTTTGTCTTGTTCCTAAATTTAGTGGAATTTCTTTGAGTTTCTATCAATTTGCTTTAATGTTGGCTATAGGCTTGATGTAAATTGCATTTGCAATAATTAAGTATATTATTTGTATCCCTAATCTCTCCAAGCCTTTTATCATGAACAGATGTTAGATTTTTGTCAAAGGATTTTTCAGCATCCAATGAGATGATCATATGCTATTTTCAGTTTGCTTTCATTCAGTTTGTTTATATGGTGAATATGTTTACTGATTTTTAT